TATGAACATTTCAGTTTATAATAGATGTGCACTTGTAGCTCAAGATGAACAAGAAGATGTTTATTTGTCTCTTTGGACGGATATTGGTGTTGAAACGTGGAAAAAAAGCCTTCCAACAACTCGTTGCTTGTGCATGCCTGTCCGTCAGGGCAAGCAGTTGAGACTTGTGCCGTGTTGAACGTGATACTGAAATGTTACAAGGTCTCACTTAGTAAGAAAGCTGTTGCGACTTTTTCCAGAAGACTGACCAGGGCGCTCATTGAGGCATGAAGTCGAAGCGTTCAGATGTCGTCAGATTAACTGAAAGGAGGCCATGTCTGAAGGGGAGATAACTTACAGCACAGTGATGCTACAAACATATGATCTGACAGAACGTGGTGCATTACTGTAGATTAGTGTGTATGTAGTGAAAATGAGCTCAACTTTAAACTGCAGTGAAATGCAACACATGCAGCAGTGATATAAATCCAAAACAGGGTACTCTTGGTTCTCAGGTGGTGTTAATAATCAGACAGAACAGGTGGTTAATGTGTTAGCCACATGGCACTACAGGTAAAATATTGAATTGCAACCTTTTTAAGGTCACGACTTTATGCAAATAACCTCAGGGGATAATCACACGTCTGAACGCTATCAGAGGTTGTCGGTTTGTGTTGCAGTTTGTGTAATGTGACTTTTGATTCAGTCCTTTATCTTCTGAACACATTTTTCCTCGACGTAAAATAAATCTTATCTTAAACTTTAAATTATGCACTATGGCCATTACGCTACTACCAACTTGACTAATTAAGACCAAGACATTGTATCTATAAATGGATGGTCTCTTTTTGACCCTCTGCTTCATTTAATGGCTTCAGTCGGTGGCGAAGATCTCTTTCTACTGCTGAGGGAAAAGACCTGAAGGGGGTTTAATTAAAGTGCGTGTGAGTGTGAGTGTGTGTGTGTGTTAACAAGGCATTGTGAAAGTGAAGGGAAGTGAAATACTCGCTGCTGAATGTTGTAATTACAACTTCCAGGGGAGGTGGGAGGTCTGTGATTAATTAATGCAGTCTTTTGTCTTGTTAAAAATCCGATCAGCCCGTGATAATTACTGCTAAAATAATAATGTAACGCAGGAACAGTCATTACTCTGGACATCTTTGGTCTGTTTGAGGTTGCTTTAGAAGCTTTAGATACCAGAGATGGTGATTCTCATGTATGTGAATAGTTTCTGGTACTATACTGAGGTTATTTGTCACTAGAAGTACATTAATAAGGAGTTCACGGTAGTCGTAAATGATTTAAGGCCTTTCTTAGACTTTAACATCATCTAGAAAACCAAAGAGGAAGTGGAAATGACAAAAAAAAAGCGATTATTGTTGCATTCAGCCTCAGGAACATTATCCAGAGGATCGGTTGGAGCTGACATCTGTGACATTTCTTGACATTTTCATCGACAGGTTGATGGAGGTGCAGCGTGGGTGTCGATTAGCTCGCAGCCCTCGTCTTTACGTGGGAATCAAAAATTAACCTGGCGTTCTCGGATGTGATATTGCGAGGATGATGGTGATGATAACACTTTATCCGAGTGTGAAAGTGTTAGATGGCGACGGTTGGTGGTGATGAGATTTATTATCTTATTCAGCTTTTTTTTAAAAACAGAAAATAAAAGGAACTCTTGGAAGACTGTGTTCCTTTTTTGTTATTGTTTGTTGTTTGTGATTGTGTGTTTTGGGATCATTGATGAGTTCTGTCACACTGTCAGTCATCCATATTTGGTTTTAACATTTTTTCTTTTAACCGTATCTACTCGTTCTCTCCTTTTGCTTGAATGTAGCAGGTAATATTGTCCTTGTTTATTTTTATTTTTCCTTTTTTTTTTTGTTTCCAGGGAGCCAACAACATCCAGGTACGGAGGGCTGTGAAAGACACGCTCTCCAATCCACAGTCTCCCCAGCCGTCCCCTTACAGCTCCCCAAAATCGCAGCACAAGACCCAGCAGAGCTTCCTGCCCCCAGGCTGGGAGATGAGAATAGCCCCAAATGGACGGCCTTTCTTCATCGACCACAACAGCAGAGCCACCACCTGGGTGAGCTGGCAAGCAGTGCTGAATGTCTGGAGAGTGAATGTTGCTTTAAATGAAATGATTTTCTAAAAATATGAATGAAGAAAAGCACTTTTATTTTGCTTTCTGAATGTGATTTTCTGCATTATTTGACATTTTGACTAATCCAATATTAAGACATCTAGAGCAGTGGTTCGTGTTGAGCTTAGAGAATCTTTTACTGACATCTGGTGGCGTGAAAGTCAAGTTCACTCACTTCAGACAAAAAGAACCTTGTTGTATTTAGGATTCCCTTGGGTCATTCTTTTTTTGTTGAGGGGTTTTCTTGAAGAATATCCTAAAAATCACAGCGTTGTCATGGGAAGTATTTTTAACATACTTGTCTTTTGATAAAAAGCAAACTGTAAGATCTCCACAGCAGCTGGCAGCGGAAATGATGTTCAGGGACCAGACGAGGTTATAACAGCCGGACGACTGTTTACATCCTCAAACACCGTGAACAAAGCTGTGGGCTCTTGAATGCACCCTGAATCATGTCGGTGAAGACATATGCTTCCTGAATTTAAAAAATCTGTGGGATGACATCAATATTAAAGTGTAGTCAGTCAACCGAGAAATGTAGCCACACTGATGTCTCATATGCTTTAGGGAGTAGCTGCTGGGTGGTAATGAGCTGTACTTTTAAACACGGTAATAATTTAACGCTCTGCCACTTTCAGGATTGCCGTTTTCACAACTTTCATTCATGTTACCTGTCCGTTCATAGTGTTAGGTTGGCTGGATAGATTACATTATGTATTCAGTCCTGATCTTGTAGATATTAATGGATATGCTTGGAAGACTTTTCCCTGCAAATATGTCGTAATGATGATATAAACACTGGAGGGAGCTGGGTGGTCGGCTCCCTCTGAACTGATTAGGGTCAATGAACAGAGGTGGAAATGGCTGGAGCCCATCAGCCTGAACAGTAGAAACAAACATGTAGTTAATCCTAACAATAGTGTCACAGCTTGACTCAAAAACTGTAACAAAAACCAGGAGACAACAACTATGTGGTGACTAAAGGTATTTATTGTAATAAATAAACCAACCAAAATGTGCATTTAAGCAACAGAAAACTGTGCTGCTGGTGTCTGAAGAGAAGCAGCTCCTGTCAGAGAGAACCAGAGACAGAAAATGAGGAGGTTTTATATGACAGAGCTGCTGGGCCCAGGTGTGGCTCATTCAGCTGACCACCCTCATACAGCTCTGCAAAAAGAAAAGACAGGGACACCTAGTGCCCATGTGGAGGGTCGTCACAATAGACACAGAGAAAAACACAATCCATACACTCATTTATTTATGTCAAAGAACTTTAAAGCTACAGGTAAAGTTTCATTTGGGCTTGTTTGGGATGAAGTTTTCATTACAGTTAGGGATAAGTAACTGTATGTTGTTACACCGATGGATTGTTTCACTGCTGGCTGCAAAGTACCCCAAGGGGATAATAAAGACTCCTTAAACCTTGACGTGCCAACACCTGATATTAAACAGGTCCCGGACAAAATTTCAAAGAAGAAAAAAATATGCTCTGACATTATCAGTTCTGCTTTTGGTGGTGGAGAAATTAAGAAAACAGATCTGGGTTAATAACATGGGTTCAGGATTTAAAAGTGACCATGGACCAGCTAAATGTTTAACTCTGGATGTGTTCATAAATTCAGTCTGAATGGTCGGAGCATCATTTGAACTATCATTCAGAAATTCACCGTTTTATTGCTTAAAGGGACTCCATAAAGCATAAAGAATGAAACTACCACATGGCCATTCACCTTAGTTCCTGTTCACAGTTATGTCTTCTGTTAGGAGAAGACTTAGAAAATACAGATAATGTTTGTTTTTCGAGAGCCACTGGTTAATAACAACAATAGTACTTATATTGAATCACGTTTTATCACTTGTAGAAGCTACAGTTTTAGTCTTGGGGTCTTTTGCAAAATGTGTAAATATGCGTCTGTAGCTTTGTCCTGACTTACAAATGTATAAAATACCATCAGACACGATCCTGAAACAAACAGCTTTAGAAATTGGTCCATCAGAAAGCACTGATGTGTTTACTATTCAGCTATAAAATACAGAGCATACCTTCGTCACCATAACTGACAATGAAATTGAAAGGATCATAAAATGTCAACTTTGTTATTCCCCCCGCCATTCTGTGAACGATTAAGAGCTATGATTACAAAGAATGTACCATTGTTAGTGCTAATGTCTGTTGCATTAAATTTGGTGGAGCTGCAGCTGAGAATTGTCAGAGCAGGTTCAGCAACCTCAATGATTGCCAAGTCATTGTTAGACGGCTGCTATTTACTCTCTTATTTACAGTTTTGATTCGGTGAAAATGAAAATCAAATCTCACTTTGACCTGATGATGGTGACAAGATTTTGTTGTTGTTTCAGAACTCTCCTAAGAGTCTTTAATCCGTCGAGTCCAACGTGACTCATTTTTGCCCGACAGCTGTGGAGATGTTAATGACTGAATTTGGGGATGATTAAATGTTTACTGTGACTCAACGTTAATCCAGTTTCAATGTCTGCTAGTCGGTTTTTACAACAACAAAAGATTCATTATGCATTGAAAGTCCCCCTCTGCTCAGAAAACATCTTTTTCTTATTGTTGCTTCATTTGTTTTATTATGTGCAGATTTCTCTGGGCTCACTTTAAATCTGCATTTGAGGTACATGTAAGGGCAGAGTTTTTGGACTGGAAATCCTAAATACAATGTGATATGATGTGAAAACTAGGAAAGCAGTTCATCCTGGTTATATACTATTAACTATACCTCAAAATTGCCTTTCTTGAAATTAGCGGGAACTCTGTGTAATGATGAGATGCTGTGTTATCCTTTAACCAGAAAGAAACCCAGAAAGTTTGCAGTTGTTTTTTTCTTCTTCTTCTTCTTAATTGTTCTGTGTCTCTTCCTGCCTTCTGCTGCTGACTTCTAGGAGGATCCCAGATTGAAATATCCAGTCCATATGAGGAATAAGAACTCCATGGAGCCTGGTGACCTCGGCCCTCTTCCTGTAAGTACAGTCACAATTAGACCGACTGGATATTTAACCTTTGGCCCACAAAGCACACTTTTAACAACCTCATAAATCACAATAACTGCTTAGCTTTGTTCACTCACCATTGTCACTGCATGTTCTTGTGTTTATGACAAACCAATTCATATAGATTGATGTAATCTGGATCCTTAGTTGAAATACGAATAAGAAACAACAATTATTTATCTTGCTCAGATTAGTAAGCTTGACTGAGTGGTACGTTTATGTTTAGATTTAGATGACTTTTGCTTTTAAAGATGAGATCATGTGTTTTTTTTTTTTTCTTATTCCTGTTAAAGAACAAAGGGGTGGGGGAAATTATAAACTCAGTGTGGGGTCTGTAATAATCCTTAACTAGAAGGTGAAGACTCAGTCAACTAAAGCAAACTCCCAGCAAGTGGGCCAAACGTTACCGCAGCTAGATGTTTGATAATCACAGCTTTCTGGGTTTGTACATCTCACAGGCTTGTGTGGTGTGTGTGCATGTGTGTGTGTTCTCTCTCTCCCTCTTTCTCTTCTCTCTCCGTTCTGATGGATCTAATGTATGCTACTTCTTCTACACCTGGCCATGTCTGTTTGGCAGAACCTACCAGAGGAGGTTGGTTGGTGCCTCCCTCCCTCTGCCTGCCTTTACCTACCTGTCTGGTCCAGTCTGGTCTGGTCAAATGCCTGCAGACAGCCTTGCGATTTCTTTTTCTTATGATTTTCCTTTTTCTTTTGATCCTCTTCTCTATCTTTTCTCTTTCTCTCTCATGACCGGCATGGATGGACTTGTACCTCTCCCTTCCTTTCAGTTGAACAGTATTTTACCCCACTTCCTCTCTCTGTGTGCGTCCTCCCCGCACCACCGCCACCCCTTCTGTTAACAATTAACATTTGGAGCTCCCCACCATTCTCCTGGGATTCCTCAGACTGCTTCAGGTCTGTGTACCTGTGCCAGCGCCTGAGGCACAGTTAGTCGAGTTGGGGGAAGCGTAACAAGGCGAGATGCCCCTGGCATTTGTTAGAGAGAGAAGGAGAATGAACAAGAAGGACCGATGGAGGAAATGGGGTGAATAAAGGGCAGAACTGATGGGGGGGAAATGCGGGAGGGAGGGAGGGAGGGAGGTTTGCAAGGAAACAAAAGGAACTGTATGTCAGAGGAAGGAATTGGCTGTATGCTGCATGTGTTATCAGCTTTCCAGTCTGGTCTCCACTCATGCAGCAGCAGCAGCATACTTAGAAACACATCTACTGTACTTTCTGTAGCTACACCCTGTTTCGACAGATTGTCAGACTCTGTCCCTCTCCCCACCCCTTTACTCTCAATCTACTGCAATTGTTTTAATTGCTTGATTGCTGGTGCCGTACGAGTGTGTGTGGCCTGAGTGCTCACCGTGTCAGTGGCGGTGTACCGGTTTGAACTAGTAGTGGTGATTAACCTTCATGTTGTGGTCGTATCCCTGCCTTGCCGCTGTGTCAGACCTGACTCAAATAGGACCCCAAAATCCTTTCATTTCCTTTGTGGCGTTTGATTGAGCTTGCCTCGCCTGCACTACCGGGATGTCAGTGTTCGGACCATTTGATGGTTCAGTCAAGTTCAATCAAACACAAATTTCAAAAAGGAAAAAAAACAACAACAAATGGATGGATTTAAATAACTATTTGAGCACGGCCTGTTTGACGGTGCTGTCTTGTTGTTTCCTCACCCTTCTTCTCTTTTGCTTCTTTTCCAGCCTGGATGGGAAGAAAGAGTTCACACAGACGGACGCACCTTCTACATTGACCACAGTAAGAGGAGTTTTTGTCACTTATATGCTTGCATTTAGTCGTGTGTGTTTATTCCTTGTGAGCCTCTTGGTTTTGTTGCCTCCAAGTTACTTATTGTGCAGCAGGTTTTTTTTTCATTGTTACTGTCAGCAAAGCACCTCATCAAATGCAGTATTTTCATCAAAACTGACTTAATGTAGCAAAAATGGTTTCATTTAATTGAATAAAAGGAAAGCAAGATGATAATTACAGGATCTAGATGTAATCAAATCAATGAAATCATCCTAAAGGGATTTTACTACTTTTCTCTTTATGGATGTATATTTCTAATCATCTTGGTAGATGGATTTTTGATGAATTGTTGATAGAGGCTTTATACATGATTACCTGTACAGCAAGGCTCTATTTAAGTGAAAGGTTGCCTCCTACATTCCCCAGAATAACCACAGTGTCCACAGAGATCTCGAGAATACACTCGTGACTTGATAAGCCGACCCTCAACAATCTGAAAACCTCACAATCCGACAGGTGTTTAGGAAAAACAAACGGAACCCATTAAAAATAGCCTTAACATACCAACAGCCTTGGATTCTGACTCCAACATGACATTTTATGTCACAAATCAGGATAACGGTGTATTATCTGACTGAACAACAGATTGGCTGTGATCAGACTGCAGGACTTAATGCTCAATTTGGATTTTTTGTGAAATCCGATTTTTTTTGCGAGTTGGTTCACATTTCCAATAAAATACAACTTGTATGTGATCTGCTGTGTGAACTTCATACGACCCAAAAGTGTCCTGCATGTGCAGAAGAGGAGACAACGCCGTCACACTCTGTGAGCGGGCTCAGTGTTTACGGAAGTAAACATGAATGGCCGCCACTGATGGTGGAAACAGAACTGCAACCGCTATCCTAAACTAGCATCAGCAGCCAAGTTCTGCCTGTGCATTCCGGCCACGTCCACCCGTCGGAGCACAACTCCGGGGTGGAAGAGCCCCCTGACCGCGCAGAATATTCGATATTCATCATTCATTGGGCCTGAATATCCAGAGACTAGAAAGTGCTATTGGGACCAGCCCTACTAGTTATTATAACAACTATGAACAATAATTAACAACTAATGAGCCTTCAAGCATCAAGCCCTCCTTGTATCTCGACCTCCGCCTTGACAATCCGACAGCCTTGCTATCCGACATAAAAGAAGGATTTAACATTTAGTGTCGGATTATCGAGTCCCGACTGTACTTGTTTTGTGTGACTTTCTTTCAACTTAAAGAGTCTGAAATGATCTTCTGCTGTCTTTGTTTCATCCAGATACAAAGAACACGCAGTGGGAGGACCCACGTCTACAGAGTCCAGCTATCACAGGACCCGTGAGTACTCGCCTCTTACTGCCCCACTTGTTCAGAGAGTCTCTGCTACAGCAGTATTGCCACTTCTGACATTGTGTTTCTATCTGTCACACACTATCATCAGCCTCAGAGTTTCTGCACCACAGAGATAAAGCACTTTGTCACCGTTGTTGTCGCTAACATGCTAACACCTTTGTGTCATTCTGTGTGAGGGTTCAGATATTGTTCTCCCTCGCTGCCAACTCGCCTCCCCGCGTAGCACACTGTGTGGTTTTCTGAGCTGTAATTAGTAACGGGAACACTTACATCACAAGTCAAATAAGTTCATTGGTCCGTTTTTGACCATTCCTTGACTCCTGTGTGTTGTGTCTGCAGGCTGTTCCCTACTCCAGAGAGTTCAAGCAGAAATACGACTACTTCAGGAAGAAATTAAAGAAACCGGTAAGAACAGATTTGTTTCCCACCTTTCCGGTTTCTTGCTGGTGTACTTTTGCATAATGAGGCCAAAAATAAATGTGGTCCAAACCTCATGACTTCTCCCCTGAAGGAGAAGGCAGGCTCATTTGCTTCTATTTTGATATTGCTTGATTGCATACAACTTTCTTCTCGACACTTTGTGACTGAGTTTCATATCTTTTGTTGCTTATTAAATATTCATTGCAATCATTACACGTATCTTTGCAGTTAACACTTGTTGCAGTAGGTACAAAACACCAAGTTACTGTCCCAGGTGTTGTTTTTTGAAAGCTGTAAATTAATGTTAAGGGAACAATCAAAACAGAAGTAGAACTCTAAATAATTTGCACAGTTTTTGACTTTGACAAACAGCATCTATTGTTGTGTTAGAACATGTTTAATGCCAGCAAGTATTTTAAACTGTCTTATTTACCAGCTTGTCAGCAACCTGTTTTCTTTTCTAAAATCACATAAAATTAATTTGTATTTTTTAAATAGGTATTTAACCCCTGGACTGAAGCTGAAACAAATAATTGATTCATTTTCAACTATTGAATTCGTCGCTCACTGTTTTGATTATTGATTAATCAGTTTGAGTAATTTTTTAAGAAACAAAAAAGTAAATTCTCTGATTCCAGGTTCTGAAATGTGAATATTTTCCTGTTTCTTTAATCTTATGCGACAGTAAACTGAATATTTTTGGGGCTGTGGACAAAACAAGATATTTCAGGAAGTCATGATGGGCTTTGGAAAACACTGATCAAGATGTTTTATCTTTTCCTGACAATTTAATAGACCAAACATCCATCCATCCATTATCTATACACCACTTAATCTTCACTAAATAATCAGTTTATTGAGAAAGTCATAGACGGAATAAAAAATGTTTCTGGGACGTTTCTGCATTTTGCATTGTTGCAACTGGAAGTCTGTATCTTTGTTCAGTGGTTTAAATAAAACAATGGAGAGAAAATACTTTTACAAAAGTCAGGTTTTGCAACAATCTTGTTTTTTAAACTTTGGAGTGATATTTTGCAGGAGCACCTCATGCAGCTGTTGCACTTGGTGGTTGTCTTTAATAAGCCTAAATCTTTTTTTTTGCCTTTTACCAAGGTCTCACTGAAATCCGGTTTTGTTTTGTCTGTATTTGAGACATTTGTTTTGAATTTGTAACAAACAAGCTTTTCTTTGTGAACTTTTCAAGGCTGACATCCCCAACCGGTTTGAGATGAAGCTACACAGGAACAACATCTTTGAAGAGTCGTACCGTCGAATCATGTCCCTGAAGAGGCCAGATGTGCTGAAGGCGCGGCTATGGATCGAGTTTGAATCAGAGAAAGGACTGGACTACGGCGGTGTGGCCAGAGAGTGGTTCTTCCTCTTATCGAAGGAGATGTTCAATCCCTACTACGGCCTTTTCGAGTACTCTGCCACGTAAGGCTCTGTTTGCTTTCTTTAAGTTTACAAACTGTTTCTGGATGTTCAGAAACCTTTAACAGGAAATGAAGCAGGAGCACACAGGACATGGTGTCAACCAAAGCCAAAGCATGGAAACGTTTTCCACGAAGGGCAGTACGGGGCAGTGCTGCCGTGTTGATTCCCCATGAGACTTGTGAAAGTTTCCTTTTACTTTGATTAACTTTTCCTCGTATTCAAAAAGCCATCCTGAAACAAGCATTTCCCACAAACAGTACAAGTCAAGATCATAAAAAGTGTCATATGTTTTGTTCCTTTTCTTGGCGCCATCATCTCGATCGTCATCGAGTTCTCGCTCATTTTTTTGCAATGAGGGACAAAGGTAACCCAAAACAAATAAGTAGCGCTGGTGAAAAGCCAAAGAAACTGACAAGCGAACTTTTAATAATAATTAAGAGAACGGTCAAAATGTCAAACTAATAAAATTAACATCATTGTGATTATTCATCACAGAAACCTTTTGTTATTTAGTTTTACCTTCATCAACAGCTGCAGCTGAAAAGCTGATGTCACCTTGACATTTTCTGTTTCTGGGTGCATAAAAACAGTTTTAATTAAAAAAGCAGTTTGAATTAAAGCAGCAATATAACAAGCTACAAACAGCATCGGTGTACTGAAGGACTTAGCTGGTTGTGGTGTTTTCCCCACTATGGGGCATCTGGTCAGGACACAGGAGACTAGTGTTGGATTAATCCGACTTTAGAACCGACACCAGTCTTTCAAACCTGTTCATTTATCTGCCACACAGACAGATTGGGAAACATGTAAGTGGGAGTGTGGGATCTTAAACAAAAGAGGAATCCTCATTACTAAAGTGATAAACAAGAAATGCAGAGAGTAATTCATTCAACCGTTTATCTAAACGTGGAACACATTGACGTATAAAGGACTTGTTTACAGTTTAGAAAACAGAAGTTGCTGTGGTGTCTCTCAGTGGTTTTGCAGCGACTATATGATGAAATTGAATAGAATGAACACAGCAAACCTCTTGAACTGTGGCTGCTGTGCAACATACAGACAATAAGGAAGTAACCTAACGCAAACAAATGTCCTAACTCCATCATAACCACTCGACAGTGTCGGTAATAGATGTAACCGGCTGTAGCAATCCACTTACTTCCTGCACAATAGTGAAAAACCTGACATTGAGATATTTAGTTTCTCTGCAACACATATTGCGATATGAACCAGTTTAGTAAATACAATCTGTGGCACTGCAGCCTGATTATTACACCCTGGAATGACTTTCCTTTCTCTGTTCATGTGTCTGTCCAGGGATAACTACACACTCCAAATCAATCCCAACTCTGGCCTGTGCAATGAGGATCACCTCTCCTACTTCAAGTTCATCGGGCGCGTGGCAGGAATGGCCGTGTTTCATGGGAAACTACTGGATGGTAAGCTGCTGGATTCTGGAGGCTCCCTCTGATGTTATAAATGGGTTTTATTATTATTTTACTGTGTGTAAAAACTCTGATGCAGCCTGGTCAGTGATGTTTTTAAGCCTAACCCTTCCTCACACACATGTCCTTAAGTTGCTCTCTGCTGTACTTTCTTAGGATTTTTCATCCGGCCGTTCTACAAGATGATGCTGGGAAAACAGATCTCTCTTAAAGACATGGAGTCTGTGGTAAGGCCTCACTCTGCTAAATTATGAAGTAGTTATTAAAAAATTCTGAGCCAGTGGGTTTGCTGCTGTAAAATAGATGGGAGGATGTATTTGGTGAACACGGTGCTTTGCTGATTAATGAAAACCTACCAGAGGGTCCATTGTTGAATTTAAATAGTTCTACACTCATGAAATTTTGACGGAGCCAAGAATGAAACCCTGAAAGTTAAAAAATGATGAATGATGATGAATTACTAATGTTCTTTGTGTTTAATATTTATCCCTGCAGGACAGCGAATACTACAACTCTCTGAAGTGGATTCTGGAGAACGATCCCACTGAGCTGGACCTGAGGTTTTGTATTGACGAGGACAACTTTGGACAGGTGCTCCAATCAGTCACTTTTAATCCATTAAAGTCACTATTTAACAGTGAGGTAATATGATTGGGTATCAGCAGCATCTTTATTTTATTTGTTCCGTTTTTAAATTGCTCAGACGTACCAAGTGGACCTGAAGCCCAGCGGCTCAGACATGGTGGTCACCAACGAGAACAAGAAGGAGTACATAGAGTAAGTAGTTTCCTCTTCATCCTTTGACTCTACAGATCATATTTTATCAACTAAATTAAGCTAAAACTATTCCAAACATTTCTCAATAATCTTCCCCCTGTCAGCCTGGTCATCCAGTGGAGGTTTGTCAACCGGGTCCAGAAGCAAATGAACGCCTTCTTGGAGGTATTTACGTGCAGTAATACAGCTTCCACTTGGGGGCAATGTGGCCACAGACTGTACAGACATTAGTATGAACGTTAACTTCAACCTTTGCATGTGAACATAACTCCTACTGATCATGCTTTTAAAACCTTGTGACATCTTGAATATTTAATTAAATGTTTTGTTTTTATGCCTCTTTCATGGTATTTATGTTCTAATTCTTTCTTTTTTTTCAGGGCTTCACTGAGCTCATTCTTATAGATCTGATCAAGATCTTTGATGAAAACGAACTGGAGGTATGAATCATTGCTAGTAGGACTGAAACATTTACAGGCAGTTGGCTAAAAAAGAGCTAAAAATTAAGTATAAAAACTCAATTGAGTAAAGTCTTTAGTCATAATAGATGTCTGGGAAACTAAGCCTCAGTTAATTAGTAAATAACGAAGTTAATCTGCAGCAATATTTTAATTAGTTTTTAAGCAGAATACAAATAGTGTTTCTAGTCTCTGAAATGAGAATATTTGGACTGTTTGAAGACGTCACCTTGAACCCTTCTTATCACTGTTTCATAGATCGATCGATTGAAACTTTAATTATCAGGTTTATTTAAATGAGAACAGTTGTTGGTTGCAGAATTACAAAGAGCTGTCATTTTGGTATTTTAGTGTTTGGTGCTCAATATACGAGTTGCTGTCTGAGATGAAATGTGGCTCTTAATACTTTTATTCTGTCTGCAGCTGCTCATGTGCGGTCTGGGTGATGTCGACGTCAACGACTGGAGACAACACACTGTTTACAAGAACGGCTACTGTCCCAACCATCCTGTTATACAGTGGTTCTGGAAGGTACGTGCAGATTTAAATTTTAATTTTTTTCAAAAAGCTGGTTCCCGTCATCTTTCCCTCCATCCGGCCTGTTACGGGTTTGCTGGCCTCGCTTTTGAAGATCAAAGTCTGTTTGGAAGAACAAGCTTGTTTGCTCTGATGAAAGAGCCTAAAGTAGTACCTGCCCCCCGGTTATCATCTGTCTTGACTTGAGCGATACACACTCACACACATCAAATACACTCAGACAGCAAACACACACACACACACACACGAGCCGTAATCTGTGCACGTATACACTCTTACACACACGGACAACAGTGTCATGTCATTTGATTAAGTGAATTGGCTCAAGCGGCTTCTGTTTGAATTTGTGCCGTCACTTTTTTTTTGTACTTTTGTTTGAGAGGACACATTTACACAAACCTTAACCTTGATACTAACCCTGAATCCTGAAGCCTAAAATGTCCCAAGGTCTAAAACTTTGTCCTCACAAATAGTCATACAAGTACACATACACGAGTTAAACTGCAAAAGCTTTCTTGTTCTGAATAATTTCTATGTTTTAGAATCAGTCTTACATAAGCTTCTCAGGGTATTGAATTGATAAACTGTTCCTCTCTGATTAGGTTGTCCTGTTGATGGATGCCGAGAAGAGAATTCGACTCCTCCAGTTTGTTACGGGAACATCACGAGTGCCCATGAACGGCTTTGCTGAGCTTTATGGTACGTGGCCTCAGCAGACAGTTGATTCCTACTTGCCCCGCAGTGTTGGGATCAGTTCAGCCTGAACTTGATGTAACACAAAAAGTGTTGCCCAAGAAAAAGATGAGTCAACAGTGTTGCTGTTCCAGGAATAAAGTAACAGTCACTGAACACATCCAGGAAGAATTTGTTTGTAGCTGCTAAAATCTTTAATCTGTGTTTATGCGAGGTGCATCAGAAAAGTTCCAGAACTGGTGTCACAAAAGATATATTTCAAACCCAAACTACAAACTACAAGTTTTCCCCTTCCAAGTAATCCCCCTGGAGGCTAACACACTTTCCCAGCCTTCTCTGCCACCATGCACTCCTGGAAGGATTCTTCCGAGATCCTCCGTCATCACAGCCATCTTGACGTCGTCCACGTCTTCAAATCAGGTCCCCTTGATGACCCCCTTCAGCTTAGGGAAGAGGAAAAAAATCCCACGGAGCCAGGTGGGGTGAGTAGGGAGGTTGTTCCAGCACGGCGATGTTCTTCTCAGCCAGGAACTGTTGGATGCTCAGGGCGTTGAGAGCAGGCGTGTTGTCATGGTGAAGCAGCCACGACTTGTCCTGCCACAACTCTCACCTCTCCTCGAACAAAGCAAACACCGCAGGATCTCTTTGTAGACATGCTGGTTGATCGTCGGTTTGAAATATATCCTTTGTGACTCCAGTCCTGGAACCTTTCTGACACACCTCGTAGACAAAATACATATTCAATAAAACTGCTGTCAAAATTTGGTTAACGCTTTTTTCTACATAGCACCTGTGTAAAATAAAAATATAGAGACAGGTTTTCTGTGTTTACTGTAGAATTACACCTGAGGCTTTCAATGATTCCAAATGAAAACACGTTATACATTTATGTCAAAAAATTTATTCTTAATAGACTTTCCTTTACCCAAGATCACAAGCGATAACTGAACTGAACAAGGGTTTGAATTTGTGTTCTAATACAAGCATACGTGTGGTCATCTAGACAGTGGTGTATTAATCAGTGTTCTTTCCTTTGTGCCAGGTTCTAACGGTCCTCAGCTGTTCACAATCGAGCAGTGGGGAACACCAGATAAGTTACCAAGAGCTCACACATGGTACGTCTCTACTGCACATAAACACACAGAACAAAGCTGAGCTTCTATAGATATGCTAGCAAATGATAAACAGGTGTCATGTTTACAGTGAACAGCAGCTTAGTTTAGTTGGTGTCATGCTAACATTTGCTCGTTAGCACTTAATACTTAAGTGCAGCTGAGGCTGATGGGAGAGCCAGTCGCTTAGCAGGTAATTTGCCATAAATCAAACAGTCCCACAAAGCCAGACGTAGCACTACAGCGCCAGAGAATAGTCAGGCTGAACCCCATCATTCTGTAGCAGGAGGAATAAATACTCTGGTGTGTTTGTGTTTCTTTAACCCAATCACATTCGTCTTAGGCGGGCGGTGCTAAGCCCAGGATGCAGGGACAAAACAGGAAAGGGGGAATTGTTTTAGTGAAACATGCAGTGAGGTGACCACTGCAGCTGAAACTGCTAATTCCCTGAAAAAAACCCCCCAAAAAACACAAGAAAGCTGGGCTGGTTGTACGATCTGTTTGAGACATGAGTCCAAATTCTCTTTTTAATTGGTGTTTGCAAGCAATGTGTGGTGTCACGATAGTGTGTCCCGTCCCTAATTTTTTATATCATTTTAACACACAAACCCACTCACACTACAGCTGTGACATCAGTCAAGTCTGAGTGCTGAAACCGTAAAGCGAGAGAAGGAACTGGCAACAACCATAGAAGTCCTAAGGCCCCTACTGGACTTAAGCAAAAGATCAAGTTGCATTACTTGAGTTTGGCTTCACTGTATAGAACCGCAATCTCCGCCCATCTTTTATATACAGCTTATGGGAAATCCAAAACATTTCACTGAAAACCACACAAGAGAAGTCAGCTGGACTTCATCTTCAGGGACAAATCTACCAAACAGATCTCATTTTGTGCTGGTCTGTACTGTAGGAGTTCAGCTATATAGCTACAGATGTAAAAAATTCACCTGGAAGTGCTTGTGTTAGGGTCAGATCCTCAAATAGCTGCTGAGATATTTTCCTCTAAACTGAGAGACCAGCTAATGACACATCCATTCTGCCATTGACACAAGAAGTGCAGGTGGTTTATTTTTACTGTTACCTTTTTGATAAATTCATGTTCCTCTTCCCAGTTTCAACCGCTTGGATCTGCCTACCTACGAATCATTCGAGGACCTGAGAGAGAAACTCCTCATGGCTGTGGAGAACGCGCAGGGCTTCGAGGGGGTCGACTAAGACCTCTCGGCCGCGTCACACCATCCAACAATAAAACAAAAAGCCACAGGGATGTCAAACCAGCTGCTGTAGCAGTTTCTGTGCAAGCATGTTGTACTGTGATGCCTGACTGTGAGCCACCTCCACAGCACGGTGGTTTGAGACTGTACAGCGACTTGTCGAGCCAATATGCCTACGTCTTTCTATCTTTTCAGTGTGGTAGGTCACTCCTTAAAGGTGCTGGGGAAAGAAAGGGAGCGTTGCACTCTTTGAATGCTGAAATCTATTATCCACAGGCATGAGCAATGAATGACGGGAGCTGGCCCCTGATCCACTGTTTCTTTCCCCTCTAACCCTCGTCCTGTGAAAATCTACAGTGCTGGAAAAACACCAATGCATTTCAATAGCTCCTTTATGTACACTATAGCACAGTATTTGAGCGCCCTTCGATTGGAAGGGTCTTAGCATGGCCTTAATCTGGCTCCTACATGCACTATTTCTCTAAGACAAACTGCAATGGCACTATGATCACAACTCTCTCAAATCCTTAGACCAACACCAGATTACCTTAGGAATGCTAGCCAATCACATTTCAGGAAATCGGCCACACCCCTCCGTAGAGCCTTGTCTGTGTCGTGTGATCAGATATCGCCGCTGCAGCCTTTTTGTAGAATAATTTTCTTTTTTTTTAGCCACTGGTAAGGATTTACAAGAACGGTGGGGACGAACGAATCCCCACAGCTGATTTTTTTTCTTTTTTTTTTTTTTTATAGTTTTTGTCATTAAAAGAACAGATTTTCTTTTTAGCATTGGTATCATTCTCGCAGGAAAGTACTCTCAGTGTATTTGTACTGATGAACAATGTTCTTTACTATTTTGACGACTATATATGACATGGTGTGTGAAGTGCAAATTTGGCTAGTCTGGGACTTGATTAATCCATATCATTTGTTACGGTGATAGCAAATGTGATGAAAAAGAAATGTTTTTTCTTTTTTTTATTGTAGTGCTTTGAAAGCAGCATGAAACTGTACCTTGTGTTTGCTCGGACTACATATTAATTTGGACGTGTAATCGGTCTCGAGGTTGGGAAAGAAAAAAAAAAAACTAAAACTGGGGGTAGTTTCTCTGAGACGTCATGATTATATTAATATTCTCATGCCTGTTGCTGTTCATAATGCTGTAAATTGTTCTTGGAAAAAAAAACAACAACATTTTAAGTTCTTTCATGATATATAAATATATGTATGTATTACATTTAACAGAAGTATTACTGATCAACAACACTAAAATGAAGCTGTGTGTGTGCGCGGGTGTCTGAGAGAAAAGCTGTGATTGCCACTGAATATAAAGCAGCACGTTTCTTACCAAGAAAAAAAAATAATGTGTTTTTTTTCTTTTTTATGTTCTCTCTCCTTTTTCTAACACCATTGAACCTAAAGGGCACTTTATAGATCACTCTGAGGTCATGTCGCCTGTTGTATGTCTTCTGTCGTTTACTTGAATGTGATTCTTTTTTTTGTTTTTTTTTCCATTCACAGCACTTACTGGGTGCAATATAAATAGTCTGTAAATCTGGGCTGCTGCTAAGGTAGAAAAAGTTGACAGAAGTGAAGCTGAGACTTCATATCCTTTTTAGTATTCTCTGTTCTGTCTCTTCTTTTCACCCTTGTCTCTATGTTTTTCCTCCCCTGATGTTCCTTCCCTTGCTGTGATCCCACCACTCAAACTGACTCAGTACAGATTAGTCGTTCCTTTTTTAGAGGGTTTTCTTTTTTAATGAATGAGGGGGAAAAAATCTCATTTTTGTTAAAGATTCCACCAATTTCTGCAACTCTTTGTGGTTCATTTAACTTCAGTCAAATAAAATTGAAACTTCTCAGACTGTGTTGGTTTGGTAATTGAGAGTGGACGCTCCGCATGCGTGGGGTGGAATCAGAATTAGAAGATCAAACTGACTGAACACGTAACTAGTTATTTTAACTGTCGGACTCTTCAGAGGGCTGCAAGCTGGATCAGTGGTTAGCACTGTTGCCTCGCAGCTAGAAGGTTGCCGGTTTGCATCCCGGTGAGGACACCAGGATCTTTCTGCGTGGAGTTTCTCTGGGTTCTCCAGCTTCCTCCCACACAGTCCAAAAACATGTTGAGGTTAATTGGTGATTCAAAATTGTCCATAGGTGTGAATGTGAGTGTGCTTGATTGTCTGTCCAGGGTGTCCCCTGCCTTCACCCTAAGTCGGCTGCGATAGACTCCAACCCTGAAGTGAGGATTAAGCGGTGTATAGGTGATGGATGGATGGATGGATGGATGAGGCTTTTTTCAGAACTCTAGTACAGCTTAAAGTTTTTAGACTTTACATGAATACATCCATCACTCACCATGTATTGACTGCTAAGTACGAGGAAGATGGTCTTTGTAGGTCCGTTGATATCGACAAACTTACCCAACAGCATGGAAAATTAACGTTGAGCTGCTAAATCGTTAAAATTCTGCTTAAATTAAGCCCAACTGTTGTACTTTTGAGGGACTAATTTGCATTAATAATGATCAATAATGTAGAATTTTGTATATTCTAATCCTTTAAATTGCTCTGATAAAGGCTGCAAGGTTGCTCGGTGGTTAGCATCATTGCCTCGCAGCTAGAAGGTTGCCGGTTCACGTCCCGTTGAGGACACCCAGGATCTTTCTGTGTGGAGTTTGCATGTTCTCCCCATGCAGCGTGGGTTCTGTCCGGGTTCTCCAGCTTTCTCCCACAAGTCCAGAAACATGTTGAGGTTAATTGGTGATTCTAAATTGTCTGTAGGTGTGAATGTGAGTGTGCTTGGTTGTCTGTCTTTAAGTGTAGCCCTGTGATAGACTGGTGACCTGTCCAGGGCGTCCCCTGCCTTCGCCCTAAGTCAGCTGGGATAGACTTCAGCCCCCCGTGACCCTAGTGAGGGTTAAGCGGTGTATAGATAATGGATGGATGGATGCTCTGATGAAGTCATTTCTGTGTAATAAGTGCTTTTATTATCAGTGAAATACATTTAGCTGAATACACCTGTAATGGAGTGTCTTTACATGGTGCACTTGTCTCTTCAAAATGTATTTTATGAGAGACTTTTGAAACCTGATAACTGTCCTGTTAATCAGTGCTGTTGTGTTTCTAATCACTGCCTTCTTGACATTTACAGAAACACCTAAATGTGCTGTTGTGTTGCACCAGTTCATCATCTATCCTCCGTTTACCAGAGGTCACAAAGTTTTTCAAGACCTGTTGTAATCCCGCATGGATAGATGCTGCGTCTGATGGCGATTAGCTTTAATTCATCCACATTTTGAATGGATTCTTGAAATCGGGCCAACAGTGATATCTACATACCCACATACTTTTCAGAGCATGTGTGTGTGTCTGTTGAGAGATTAATGAAATTCACAGCTCTCTCTGGTATGTCTTTTTAGTGTGTGTGTGTGTGCACGTGGTGTGGTGAAGGGACCTCAGTTCATTCACACAGGCAATCTAAAAGTTATCAGCTCCAAGGACGAGCAAATAAAAGCCACCCTGCCAGTACGGGGACATTTTATCAAGCTCTCCTACCCTCGATCTGGTCACAAACAAACCGAGAGCCAACTCTTCTTCAGATCCACCTCTGAAAATTCCACTCCACCTGCTCCAAAAATGTGCAAGTGAGAATAAATTAGTTATTTGCTCTTTTACAAGATAATAAACAGAGTTAATTTCTTCTTTATTTATTACTGTTCTTCTAAAGGTGAGACCTACCTGTTTGATTTTTTTAGTCTCACACTGACCTCTGGTTCTGTTATGTCACCGCAGTGACCTTAATGAAACTCTGACAAGAAGTTTAAGTCATAAACTGGGCCAAAAGTGGATGATAGTAAGTTGAAAAGAAAAAAATATAGAAATACTTGATATTTTTTATTTTTTTGACTTTCATATTTCATCTATCTATCTATCTATCTATCTATCTATCTATCTATCTATCTATCTATCTATCTATCTATCTATCTATCTATCTATGTAGTTGTCATGTCAAGTGGATGTTGTCTAACACTGTTGTATCGTATTAAAGTGTATAAAATGATAATAGTTTAGGTCCTTTGCTGAAGTTAGCATTTGTGTTATTACCACTAGTAGCAGTGGTTTCACATGTTAACCATTTATATATTGCTTTTAGTTAAATATTTCAAACACGTTTTACTTATAATGAAGTAGTTTAAGTGTTTGTCCATTAATATTCAGCAATTTTCCATTTTTTTTAAAAACCATTTGAACCATTTGCCTTCGTTAACTAGTTCAACTGTTCTACCTTTTAGCTGACTGAGCTGTTACACTGCTATATGAGTTAAATCTGTTATATTTCAACCAGTATTTGAACTGTTTTAGCTAGCTAATTCAACAATTTATCCATTCATCTTTATTTCAGCCATTACTTTAGCTTACCATTTTAGCTGTTAATTCATTAATTCTAGCTAGCCATTTCTTTGAACTTTCTATTCTGTCCTTTTTAGCAAAGTATTTAAACTAAACCCATTACATTTAGCTAAATATTTCAACTGTTTTTCTTTTGACCAACTATTTCCAAAAATGATCCCTAACTTTCAGACATTAGTATTATTTTCCATTTCAGGTAACTATTTCTAAAGCTGCTTTAAAGTCATTATTTGAACTGCTTGTGTCACTTCTTTTTTATTTATTTATTTATTCATTTCATTCATTACTCTCAGGTTACTGTATTACCTGTTTATTTATTATTTTAGCTACACATATCAACCATTACTGATTGTTTAAACTGTTTGTTCCCTGCCTCTAGCAAACTACTTCAACCAAATCCACTACATTTAGTTAAATATTTGAACTGTTTTTCTTTCGCCAACCATTTTAACAAATTCCACTTAACTTTTAGCCAATTCTATAATTTTCTATTTTAGTTAACTATTTCTACCGCTGCTTGTAACTCATTATTTGAACTGCTTATGCATTACCTTTAGCTTTTAGCCCAGCGCTGTAATCCATTATTTTAGCTATTGTTTTTTTGAATTTTACTTAACAATTTCAACCAGTATTTATTGTTTCAACAGTTTGGACTCTGATTTTAGCAAACTATTGCAGCTAGTTCCAACACATTTAGCTAGAAATGTGAAAGTTTTTCATTTCACCAGCTTTTTCAGATTATGCGTAACTTCTAGCAAATTCTATCATTTTCCATTTTAGCTACCTACTTCAACAGTTACTTTTAGGTCATTATTCAAACTGCATATACATTGCTTTTAGCTTTTAGCTCAACCGTTTTATATTAATTGTAGCTAATGTGTTTTTTGTTTTTTTTTGTTAACAGTTCCTACCACTACTTTTAGGTAACTGAACTTTTTAATTTATTAATTTTAGCTAACTACTTTAGCCATTTAGCTACAACTTTTAGCAAACTACTTCGACTAAACCCATTTCAATTAACTTACATTTAGTATTCGCAACCACTTTTTAGTGAACAATTTCAACCATTACTTTAGCAAACCATTGCAGCTACTTACCCTGTAACTTTAGCAAAAGATTTTAACGGGTGCTTTTAGCAAACAGTTTGAACTGTTTGTGTTAATGTTAGTTTACCATTTCTTCTAAATCATTTAAGCATTTCAGCTGTTTTATGTTTCGCTAACTCAACAATTTATCCACAACTAAACAATCAGTGCCTCAAACATTTATCCATTAATTTGAACTAATCTACCATTTCAGCTAACTATTTCAACCTCTTCTTTGAGCTACCTGTTTAACCCTATTCAGGACTTTTGGGGTCTTTTGGACCCCAGGCCATTTGGTTTAGGTGACCGGTATTGTTTTTTTTTTTTAAGATTTTTTTTTTAAATATAAAAAGAGGGACATTTGTCCTGCATTTGGAACCAAAAAATACGTCAACTAATCAGAAAATTAATTTAACATCGTATAAAAGTCTATAATAAATACCAACAAATATTTTGCACATATTCTTTCTTGGGGACCAATGGACCCCCAAAGACCTTCTATGTCTGGCAACATGAAAGTCCTGAATATATTTAAAATCCAATAGAGTCAGGTGACTGTTTGAATCGCATTACTTGTAGCTAAAAACTTCAACAATGAATCCATTGGTGTTTACCAACCATTTCAACTTTAATGTGTAATGAACAGCCATTTAGCAAACATTTTTAGCTACCTCTTATGACGAGACTATATTGCTTCTAGCTAACTATTTGGGTGGTTTATCCATAACTTTCAGGTGTTTAAGCTGTTTATTTAGCAGTTTTCCTTATTACTGTAACTTACTGCAAAAACAAATAGCAGTAGTAGTGAAACTGATCCTTGGGGTCATGGCATAGCTTTACTATTACTGCTGTATCCATTAACTAACTCATAAGAACTTCACAGTATTAGGTTTAGGGTTTAACACATCATGTAAACACCTAAAAATGCAACTTGCTTTTACTTTTACTTTTATACATCTCATTTTGGTTGCATTCTTTCAGGTGTTTTTTTGTTTATTTGTTTGTTTTTTCCTCTTTAACTCAACTAAATTGCTATTCTGTGCTGTTTCTGGTCTGTCAGGTAAGCTCACCCGCATTATTAAGTCTGTTACATTCACCTCACAGTGGATTCCAGTGAAACCTCAGTGATCCAGCCCAGACCAGGACAGTTTTTTTTTGGTCTCCCCCTCCTCCACCCTTCACCCTCTACCTCTGGTCAGGGTCGATCAATACTTCCCCCGTAGCTTATCACTAATGTGCAACTGGCTGTTTGTCCAAACTCTGCTCTGTCTACATAAAGACTTGGATGGGACGGCACCGAATCCAAACGCACCACGGATCCCCTCGTGAGCCTGCTGCCGCGGACGCACTACTGGACTTAACTTGACATTAACGCACGACACGAAGGCGTGAGAGGGACGGAGAGAATAAAAAGAGAGTCGATGTGGGAAGAAGAGCTGGAGGCTGGTCTGCTGGGGAGGAATGAATGAATCTGGAAAGACTCTAGAAACCTGAGGTAAGTTAGTATTGTCATCCAATGGGCCTTTAATAATGTTTTCAGTTTACAATTCAATCTGTAAAGTTAGTAATTAATGATGAGTTTAACAAATGTAGAGATAAAGTGCCACTTTTGCTCATAAATGTAGAATAATATTAAGACTATAAATGTATTCCAATGTGTGCAACAGATAATCTGAACTGTTTGTCACTTATATTTTTTAAAAGAAGTAAAAACTGTCTGCTATGTAGGTCACACAGGTGTTCATTTACTTTGCTGCTCTCTCACACACTCTCTCATTCACACACCACAGCTGCACTCATCCCCACAATCAGTAGAAAAATGACAAGACCGGACTTTGGACACGTCGGATAAGCCTCAGCTATTTACGTGGCGCTGCTTTTTTCACTGGTTATCTGTGGTTTTTTCCATTAAACTGAAACATAAAGTGCTTTTGCTTTCCACAGCTCTACCAGAAAACACCACTTTGCTTTCTTTTCTGATAACACCAAACTATTTTACCCCCATCCCTCCTTCTCATTTCACCAGGTCATCCATCCACCAGTTTGCATTAACAACCTCCCCATCTGCATGTCTCCAGCCAGCCTTGTCCTCCAGAGCTGTGGAGTGTGACAATGGTGTTTGTTTCCTGTGTATCAAACGCCATTATCACACTAAATAGCTACAGTGTGAAAAGGACCTCAGTGTATCCCTTCGGTTGGTTTCTAACCTTGTGTTGTGGCTTCTTGTGTAATCTTCATTTTCAGTCATTCATACTGAACATGTGTCTCCGTGTCTCAATGGTAGGAGACGCCGCTGCCGGACAGACAGAGATGGAAATAGACAGACTGTGTGTTGATATGTGATGTTTAGGCTCCGAGTGTGACCCACTTAGTTTTGCGTTTCAGGTGCTAATTTGCTGCCGGAGACCTTCGCTTATAAGTGCGGATAAAAATAGTCGGTCCATTTGTTTTCATCTTGCTGACATTTCTCCAGGAGGTCATCTAATTTAAACACTGCTGTACTTTATGATCCCGCAATTGTCTTAATGCGTGCTGTAAATAAAGTGTTTATTGCTGTCTGTTGCTATAGAGTGGATGTTCGCAGCTTTTCCAAGAATTAGGTCACATGACGTTCACATTTCAAACCCTGAGTACAAAGACAGGCACTTATTTGTGTTCCACACTTCCTGTCTGTCATGATATCTGTCCCATTACTGAAGATGTGAGTTGATGTAACTTCAGAGACATGCCTTTAGCAACGCACAGGGCGTCGCTCCAACCTGACCGCCATGTCAGCAAATTGGGTCAAAGGGGTTTAGAAGGCAACAGTGAGACCAGGACAGAGACGCTTATTAAATAAAAATAGTCAGAGGCTGCAGGGTGAATAGCTGAAACACTACTAAGATCATATCAACTCCTGATGTCAGGTTAAATCATGATTATTGGGTTCACTTTCACATGTCTTCCACCTTACAGACATTGAAGACCATTGCTGTATAGCTCCTTGAAATGATGCCAGACATTTGAAATCCAAGTAATGGGCAGAAACTCCCCAGATAATATAATCACAAATCAAGAAATCTTCACATTTCACATTGAATACATTCAAAGATACACTTTACATGAGCTTTTTACGTATACAAATGACTTTGTGTTGTTTCCAGAATATAAACATGAGCTCAGTAGCTTCACTAAATGAACAAATATTACAATATTTAAACATTAATCAGGGTATACGTTCATCAAACACCGTTACCGCCTTGCAAACCAAACACATAAAAAGTGCCCACTCATACAGCCTACTTCAAAGACATTTCCACTAATCAATTAATTAATAAGTCCATTAATTTAATGAACCGGTAGTTTGAAAACATCACAGAAGTAGAAAAACATGTAGAGAAGAATCATTGCACCTCGTCAATCAAGCAGTCTAAGACATCACAGCTCATCGCCGTAGACAAACGCATCATTCTCATCATTTTCAAGTGTTCCTTACAATTGTCACAGTTTCTCCAGAGCTAAAGAAGACACATACAGCGCAGAAACTCTCAGGTGAAACCTTCGATAAAACAAATCTTTTCAATAAAGAAAACTCTCGTATGAAACGACAGCTGCTGGTTGTGTAACGTCCTCTTCAACGATCCGTCCTGCTGCAACCCCAAACTTAGGAAACCCTCATGATTTCTCTTCGACAAGCACAACTCTGCATCACGAGGTCCAAAGAGAGCGAAGACAATCACCAAAAAATGTCACTATTTAAATGAATAATAAAACCCTTAGTCCAACATTCTCCTCCGATTATGACTTCCCCTTCACCGTCGGACCAAATGTTTTCTTCTTGGGTGCAGCAGAAGGTTGGGGTTTGGGTTTCGGGACGGATGCGGGCTTTTTTGGTTTGGGCTGAAGGGACACGAGGCCGAGGATTTCACAGTACTTGTTGCACTGGTGCAAGGCTTTAAACTGGTCGATGAAGGTGGTGGCACAGTTTCCTTTGAATCCCTTGTACCTGAAAAAACAACACAATCGATTAGCAAGTGTGAATCAACAATTTGCGTCCATCTTTGGTCTCAAAAAGAAAGACATACTCACCCTTTCTTACAGGTGGCTATTCCCACATCAGTAAGCCTCATGCCCACTCCTGAAAACAGATAGATTTTTAGTTCTCTTTGTAAAAATAAAATCAAAGCACAATAATTTGCCAGTTCTTTCTGTCTTCCTGACCTTGCATGTCAGTAACCAGCAGGTTGCCCTCGGTCGTATGGTACACCCAGTGCTGGAAGGCACAGCACTTCTGTCCTGCCTCTGAGTCGCGTCTCATCAAGTTGATCTCTTTGCCGTCCTTAACCGAATACTTTACAAAGTCACCAATCAGCTCCTCTTCCAGCGTGGCGTAGGGGATGTCATTGGACGGACGGTGAACCAGGTAGATGGGAATGATCCTGGTGGGTGGATGAAAGCAAACAGTGTCAGACCATGAATTCACTGCATTAGGTCTACAAACTGCTAAACGAATTACTCACTCTGGCACATCACCGAAGGCTTCAAAGGACTGGGCTGCAGCAGTGTACCCTTTGATGTACTCCCTCGCCGTGTTCTGGACCTGACACTCCTACGGGACAAAAAGTCAGGTGCATTTACTTTCTGTGTATCAGCATCTCTACGCATGATGATTATGTATGCACAAGAAGCCAGCACTACTTTTAAACAGGAGACATCTTGTAAAATATTCGATAAAACATCATTATGTATTAATTTATCCTTGTTAGCTCTTTTTGAAAAGGGCATCTTACATCAGGATCATTCAGAGAGGAACCTGTGTTTTTTATTGTACCTTAAGCAAGTAAGCACAACTTATTTTGCAAATAAATCCAACTTTTTACTTCAAACTTGCGTGAAAATTAGATGTTTACTAAGAGTCATTCCTTAAGTTACACTCACTTCCCCCCCAGAATCCTTAAGCATCCTATGGTTCAGTTATACTTTGAGCTATGAGGAACTTTTGGGCCCACAACTATCTGTCCTGTTCGTACCTCCACAGCCAACGTAAAGTTCTTCTGAACGAGCTCGTCGTTGTTCTTGGTCCCATAGCTGATAGCGTTGTGTACTTTAAGCACACAGGGGTGTCCTGGCAGTAACAGGGGCATCTGACCCAGGTGCAACTTGGTCCGGAAAGCCCGCCGATGCATCCCCTCCCCAAAGTGGACCTTTTCCGTGATGATGCTGATGGGATGGTTGTCGCCAAAGTACTGGTCGGACAGAAAATCCTCTTTGAACATGAGTCTGGAACAGCGGACGTCCTCCTCCTCACTGCTCACCTCTACAGGGGCAACTGGAGAAAGAAAGGTGGAGACAATGAGTCAAAGCTCAGCTGTGTTAAGAAATCAAACTTGCTGTGAGAGCTCAGCTTACCTGTAATGGTCTTTGGAGTTGGAGGGATGACAATCTCACTGAGCACTGTGGAAAAGGAAACAACACATGAAGAGTAATTGTATTTTTTGTTGTTTTATTTTACATAAATTGCTCTTAAGTTGTGGATTTTTCTTCACAGTTTGCATTTTCTTTACCTTCATATGTGAGCAGGTAGTCCAGGGTGACTGACCCGTGTAAGCTGCTGAGGCGACACTGGTACTTGCCCAGGTGTTTGTTGGAAGCGTTGGTGATGGTCAGTGACACTCTGCTCTCGTCCCCTGCACTTCAAAGAAAGGTACAGTGTCACAAAATGCAACACCCGAATCTCTGTATTAAAGTCAGTACATCAGAAAACTGTTCTTTTTTAAAAATCTCATCCAATAATTTGTTTCCACTAATCCCCCCTGTGGTAGAAAATATTGACTGTGTTACTGTATTTGTAGGAAGTGCAGGTTACACATTAGCAGCTGTGTCAAAGTACTGCATAACTGATTTTCTCTTTACTTTCCTTCTACTTTTTCTGATGTTTAATGCTACATGTTACTGCCTACTAACACATCAATGATTCCCAACCAGTACCAGAGGGAAGTGATGTTGGATCAGCTGGAAAAACAAAAATTACAATTGGACTTTTTCATCTGCATATTAGCAAGTAGAAAAGTTAAAACTGTAAGCTATACAAAGAAGTAAGGAGTCATTAACCCTAACTCGAAGCGATCCCAGTCTCACTTCCAGCCCGTCACATACAGCTTCTTTTTCAGGACTATAGATTGCAAATAAAACATGGACCTGGAGACCGAGACATCACCAATTGGTTTATTCGCTACTGTTGTAGAGCCTCAAGTTTGGATTTGGCCATCTTGACATCTTGGTCTTTCAAAAGCAGACAGAACAAGTGAGCCACGGAGCTAACCTAGGAACACTACACACAATGGTTATATAGCATTCTGTCAGTCACAGCTGTACACATCCTAAAACATACCCTCTTGTTGCATATTTTTCTCTATATTAAACCAACATGATCATCAAGCCTCAAAATGTCCAACTGAGACCGTACACTTAAGCTGCATTCCTAACTCAATCTTTTCCTAAACCAACAGAGTAGTTTTGGTGCCCACTCATGCTCTGCAGAGTCCTCTAATTGAAAAGTATTGGGCTGTATGACATTCAGAACAGACTGATGCTGAGCATCATTGTTTTATTTTTAAAGGTTCCAAAGACAATTTCATTATTAGGTATGTGTTATGTCAGTGAGAAGTTTGGGAGACGGACTGGTCCTTTGTGTAAAGCTAAGTTATGACACATGAAGGGAACATTTCTGAATGTTGTATCAAATGAATGAACGTGAATACCTTCTCTTGATCTCTGCTAGGACAGCGCCCTCTCTGCTCCAGGTCACGGTGTAATCGGAGAAGACGGCAGCAAACTGACACCACAGGCTCAGACTCTGGGGGTCCCCGCTCACGGACGCTGCCTGGATCGGCTGCACCACCTTAGGGTCTGCACAAATGATCATAAGCTTTTATTCTGATGAATAGAGTGTTTGTTTACATGCCAGGAGAACAGATAGAAAGGTGCTCTTGTTTTGATGACATGTCATAGAAGAAGAGTTGTTTCCTGAATTCCTTTACCTTCTTTGTGTGGGACTTTCTGTTTGACCACTTCACTGTACGCCTTCTTACGAGATGCTCCGACGTCTGCCTTGAGCTCCTCTCCCTTTGCTCCCTTTGCCTTTACTGAAACATCTGACTTTGGAAATTTAGACTCCAAAACACTGACAAGCTTCCCAAACTTATTCTCTGACAGGCGTCGCCTTTTAATAACGTCATCATTCAGAGGACTGGGGAAGTTTTTAGGCTGGTGGTCTTTATGATCTGTGTGATTCTGACATTGTTCCCCCTGAGACGCTTTAGCCTCCGGTTGCTGGGACTTTTTCTCAGCACCATCTGACTGAATGCTGTCCATTTGAGCTTTCCCAGCTTTAGCGCCCAGCTTGCTCTCAAACATATCAATCCTTCCTTTTGCAGTCTTCGGTTTTGCTCCATTCTCTACTTCAGCCAGTGGCTCCCCTCCACTCGCTACTGATGTTGCATTCTGGCCATGTTTCTTTTTCTTCTTATGCCCATGAGACTTGCTTGCGCTCTTCTCTGTCGCCACAACAGTCTCGATCACCAATTTAGCCTCGTTGGCCTCAAGCCCGGCTATAGTGTTCTCGCTGGTGTGGTTTTCTCCAGCAGGAGGGTGAGTTTCTTGCTGTTTGCAGGCCTGCTGATTGGGAACATGGTGAGATATAACCTCCTGTTTTTTGGATCCCGGTGCACCATGGTGATGACCGGCTGATTTATCCTTTTTGGAGCGCGTTTTGTGAGGCATCTTCTCAGGTGTTCTCTGACTCAGCTGAGGTTGTGTGATTGGTTTTGCAACTCTGGAGACAAATGGGTCATTTATATCTAAAGTGATGTATGCAATGCGTTTCTCCTCCGAAATGACGAAAGGCTCAAACGGGAAAACGGGGAAGTTCTCTTGCTCTCTACTGCGATCATCAATCTCCTCAGTTATTGATTTTCTTGCAGCGTGTTCTGCAGTGTCGCTAGTGAAGTCCAGTAGTCCCTCTGGTGAAGATTTCTCAGCAGCATTTAATGTATTCTCCTTTTTATGAATCAACTCCTCATCACCTTCCAGAGATGGTTTGTCGGTAATTCCATCCGGGGTTGGCCAGAGAGCGCGGTGTTGTACGTGATCACAACTGAGGTCTCTGTTGTCATTGAGAGACCTTTTATCACAATGCTGATCTCCTTCCAAACTGCTGCTTGTCCGACAGACGAGGGAGGAGCCAAAACAGAGCGGAGCTAAGGGCATAATAAACTTAGGACTCCCCCACTGTGGCTCCACCTGACACGCTCCATCAAGGTCTGGCAAAGAGTCAAATGACACGTGTGTGTGAACATTAATATGACGGCCAGGTTGTGTGTCCACACCTGGCACGTGTGAGTTTGTTAGAGTGTGTGTGCTGAGGAAATTATGATCTGTCGTAGGTTTGTTTCCCTCAACCTCAGCTCGCCCAAAGCGCCGTTTAGCTTCCTGCTTGGCCGCTGAGGCACTGCATTCATCTGTCACTTTACACAGTTCATCTCCAAGGGGCTGAGGATGAAAATGCACAAATAATGAAAATGTTAGTTGATCTGAGGAAATGGTGCATTTCTGAGATTGAGTAAGGTAACGACAGGAATATCTGTTCTCTTACACTTTAGTATAAGGCTGTTTCTGTGCAGTTATAGTTGAAGCGCTGCCTTAAGTGAATATTTTAACATGCAATAGGCACATTTCTGGTTATTTCATTCTGCTGTTCGACACATACCTTTCTAAAGAGCCACACAGCAGACGTCTGTGAAACAACATGCTCCTATATCCAATCCACCAGTCCATATGTCCTGCATGCAACTTCAGTGTCACTGTGACAGCCAGGAGCTCCAGCTATGCTTTACACACCTAAGCCAATCAAAAGCAGTCTCCTAGGCCTGAAGGACCTGTCAGCGTCCCGATCCTGGGTTTTTAAAGGAGATGTGGTGGGAATGGGTGTGTTTAAGTGCGCGTACGAAAAGAGAGAGAGAGAGCAAAGGGGGGTCATGTTTCATGCTTCAGCTGTGCGGTCCTCTCACCCCTCCACCCTGACACACCACGGATGCATGCTATTATCATTGAACTCTTAGCTATTATTAGATGCCATTTCTGTCCATCTGAAGTTTTCCTCTCCAGCACTCCTGTTTCCTTCAGCAGCCACAGCTGTCGCTCTTTGAGATGGGAGCCAAAGGACTTAACCAATAACACAGAATCAAGGCTGGGAGCAAACCGAGCGGCTCCCATCCAAAGCAAGCCGATAATATTTGTGAGTCTCGTGTGCGGTGATGGACGTGGATTTCATATTCAGCGCACCTCCTGACTGCCTTTCAATCCTAAAGGTATGACAACACCGACAAGGACAAGAGCAGGAATGTCTCTTAACGTTCTGGCCGTGTTTCCAAAGCACATGACTGATTTATCTGTTGGCCAGCGGTGCGAAGACCATCACTGTGTGAAGGGTGAAACTTTCCATTGCTCTTTCTCACTCTCTGCGACGCACTTTAGTGAAAGTAGGGTGTGTTTGTGATGTAAGAGTATATTGACAGGTGCATATTTGTACAAACAGATGCACAAGAAAGCAAATACATGCTGTCCCCAAATTTAGTTGCAAAAGGTCTAATTATATTTCATGCTTCAAGCAAAAAAAAACTTTCACCCGTCAAGCACTTTCCAAGAGATGCCAACCAATATCTGTCTCTATAATAAGCCACCTTACCTCCTCAATTACCAGCTCTGCAGGAGCATCCAAATCAGTATCTTCTGTTATATTCAGTGTGATTGGCTCTTCCTCATTGCTCATGAAAATGTCCATCTCCAAGGACTTGACATATCTACCAAACTGGGAAAAGTCCAAATCAGCAGAAGGAGTAGATCCAGGCATCAATGTGACTGCAGATGCATCTACGCTGTGTCCTGGAGGAGCCGCCACCGTGGCACCAAGTGAACCCATGGATGAGTGGTGGGGAGGTGGGCATGGAGAACCCTCTGCCTGGCAGCTCAGGAATTCTTCTCTCTCCCTTTCTCCTTGTGTGGAAGGTGTTGAATCGCACAAGGATTCAACACTGTGGTAGGTCTCTCTGTCACAGAGTTCAGGTCCTGTAGCTTCGAGGCACAAGGAGAGACAACTCTGCCCAGAATGAATGGAGCTCTCTGGGATGTTTTGTGCCTTTAGAGGCTGATCCTGGACACCCATGGTAGGCTGTGATTGTGCCTGCGCCGCTATCTCTAGACTCTGTCCTTCCTTCGACGTCTCTGCTTCTATATGAGTATTCACCTCTGCTAGTGCCTGTGTTAAAGCATCTATCTCAGCCCCTATCTCTGCAAAGGCAGCTGTGATGTCTTCTGGTGGAGCCGCGATGATCCCAGTCCAGTCTGAGAGTGCACTGGCCCAGCTGTCCACTGATGACCATCTTTCAACCGGTGGCCCCCAACCTCTGGTGTCATCACTGGACCAGCCAATCCCCTCGCTAGCATCATGGCTGTAATCTGATCCTCCTGGGGGAAAAGATAAGTCACTGGTAGCTGAGGAGCCTCCTTGCATCACAGAGGGTCCTGTCCCGTCCAAAACATCCTGTTCTTCTGTATCCTCACCTGCCAGATACTGGCATGCGTCCAGCCAGAGCTCGACAGGGCTTTCTCTGCTCTGTAGTGGAAGGGTTAAACCGGCGACCTCTGCTTTCCCTTGTCTCACATCATTTACCGACATCAAGTCCACCTCCCAGGCATCTGCAGCAGGTGCTGTTAAACCTGCATGTTGGCTCACGTCTGACTCATGGTTTTCTGTGGCACACTCCTCACCAGAGCCGCGATGACATTGTGTCAGAATGTCTCCTGAATCACACATCGAGGCATGTGTATCACACTCTTGGTTTGCCTTTTCCCCCCCTGTTTGGGGTAATGGCTGGTATTCAGGACATTTAATCTCATGGGGATCTACATTTGGGCTCAGGAAGAAGTCCTGTGTGTCACTTTCAAAGATGTAAAGGTCTGGCATTGGTTCTTCTACTTTATCACTGCCTAAACTATCCGACTGGGGTGTTAACGACCTTAATAAAGACATGGCTTCACTGTGTTCAGAGCTGGAGCTACTGCTGGAGAGGAGCTCCGTGATAGACGCATCCATCAGTCCCTCGGATGTGGATGACACGGTACAAAAAGATTCAGTAAAGGAGCGTGACGGCTCTTGTTGGACATAAAACTCGAAAGCGTCTGATTGGGGTGAAATAAGGTCATGAGAGGTCTGAGGTAGAAGAGGTAATGTTGGTTCTGATGAGTCCAAACAGCAGCGAACCCTGAAATCATCATCCTTTGGTAAAGGCTCTGAGCAAAGTGACAAACAATGTGGCGTTAAAGACTTCACACTGTCTGAGTCAGTGCTTTTGTCAGAGGTGTCTACGAGATCGAACACAGTCTCTGTTCTTGGTTCATGTGCAGAAAACAGGTTTACTGTAGGACTCTGCAGCATAGAAGCAGAATCCAAATCTTCTGTTTGACTCTCTGTCAGAGCCGATGGTGACCGTCTTTGGTCATCTGGGCAAAGAGACGTCAGATCCATCAGGACTTTAAAAGCTCTGCTTGATTAGACTGTCAGAAAGCTGACTCCGGGTGTCAAACAGCTGATTGTTTGTGCCTGGGTTTTCTGGCGTCATTCCTCGGTATCCTTGAGTTTTTAGATTCAGTACCTGCAAAGTGACATGTGAAGTTAGCAGAGAGTTCAAATATTCTGCAATTCATCGAGAAAAACCAGATCCTCAAGTGGACTAATCTCTGACTGGAAGCTTGTGTGTGAAGTCAAAGCCCACTATCTCCCTCTAGCTGTCACTTTGTGTGACATGTTTATCTAAGCTGCAGGACGTGGCCCATTCTGTGGCTCACTGCCTCTATTTTAAGGACTTTTAAGAGACACCTCACAGACCTTATCAACAGGAAACCTTCCTGTTGTTATGACTTTGTTGCTGATAAAACCATCTGTTGAGTGCTGGCTCTGTTGTTGCTCTGTCTGAAGACTCCAATTTTTATTTTCTTGCACAGCTAAAAGGTGGTAAAGTTTGCTTCTTCTGTATTTAAAATATATTATTATCAAATATCCTAAACATATACAGGCTCTTAGCATGAGGAGCAGTTACAGAATCATTAAAAAGCTCTGATATTCTTCTTTACTTCAAGTGAGAGAACATAATATGCTAAGAAATGTGAAATTCAGCTGGAAAAAGTGTCCAGTTTCATTTTTTTGTAGCTTATATAGACAGTAAAATGTAAAGACTAAGTAAAGAAACTTGTAACTGAAACTGTTTTATTTGCACTTGAGGCTTCTTTTTTATGATTCACACATGAAAACCCTTCGATGGAGAATCAGCAGTTCCAAATTAGTCCTAACCTGATACATGATATTTATAAAACTGCAGAGAAAGTGTATGTATTTCTGTAGAGATTATTTCAGTAGTTAAAGCTTGACACATTTATGACATCTCATGCTCAGACTCATACATCTCTTAAGGAACCGCATTTATTCTAATCAGGGATGTATCTTCATGTTTCACTTGTGTTTTAAGATGTTTTCTTTTACTTCACAGCTGTAGATATTTAGGGACTTTACGTGTCTATTAAACCGTAGATGCACCCTGAAGGCACATTGCGGGCAACCTGACATACGTGCAGAGCACTGATACGAAGTGTTGAAGGGGGAGGCTTTTAAACATGCACCTAGATACACAAGATTGCAGGAGGGGAGTTGGTGGCACAGACACTGGAAAAATACCAGAACATCTTTACCCATGACCTGCATTTGTCACATTCCTGCTGCAGTGAAGGACACCTAGCCGAGCCCTCCCCGTCTCAGATGTTTACTACGAAATCCCAAAGCTACTATTGACAAACACGTCGAATATGAACTGATTTCAGACAGCGAATAAAGCTTAAAACCCCGACAAAGTGCCAATCTAAAATCAGTAAATAGCATCTTGTGCTGAGTTATTATCCAAAGTAATAACTGTCTTTAAATTACAACTCTGCAATCATAGAAGTATACAAACCCCTCATTCAGATTTTACTAAGGCATGCAAATTGTCTACGTATCTGTCAGAAGTGAAGTTTTAAATTTAATTCAGCTCAGTCTTGTTGTTTGGGTTGATTGGTGTATTATATAAAGCTTGATCTGCACTGACATTAAGAAACAATAAAGCTGTCGGCACCTGAGAGCCATGAGGTGTGATTTGATTTCATCTTCAGTGCCAAAATAGATCCATCCTCGGTCACACCAACCCCCCCTCCAAGAGCCTGCTACACCTTTAAGGTTTCTCAACATGGACGACTTGATTTACAGACGTAAACTCAAGAACCTACTGAGTCGCTTTGAACACATATTTGACAAAAACGACACAAGTTGCCTTGAAAACGTCCCAACAGCTACAGATTAGAAGTGAGCAGGGGTGTGAAAACCAAGCAAATGTTTGTCAAAGTACTTGTAAATGACTTTAAGCAGTGAATTCTCATGCTTGACTAAGTGTGTCATGTGTGCCACGGCAGAGTGTGTCAACATATCGGCGGTGCAGATGAAGCATTTTGACTGACAACGTTTAAGATTCCCCAGAGAACATCCAACAAGTTACCTCACAGAATCACAACAGATTAAAGTATTACTCGAGGTATTAAAACAGTTGTCTAGTCTGAGAAGGGGATTTCCAGCCATGCAAGCAGTACGTACCCTTTTCATAGCCGTGTGCTTGAAGATATAGACCTATGACTTCAGTATGAGCTCAGGCAGAGCCGGCGGTCTCGGGGTGTGAGTCTATTTTTAAATGTTGTCCCCCGCAAGTACAAAGTCAGTTACCTGATATTGTGGACATGTGCCGATCTTGAACATTTAACACTTGATATCTATATTTATAGGCTGTTTTCACTTTATACGCTTTAATTAAAAGGTAGAAATTTAATTCAAGGAAATTTTTGGCTCCTGCCAGTGAGAGAAATGATGAGCTGCTTTAGTCGAGCACACACTGGAGTAAGAAATAGTCACAGTTAGATCATCTGTATGCTGGGAGAATGCTTATTTCACTTACTTACACTTACAACCTTCTACTGTGACATGGCAACAATGTGCTGCTATCGATGACAAAAACAACCGAATGAGGACAGAGCTCGTGCTTAATTATAATTAGCTCACGCTGGAGTGACGATGATTATGAATGACGTTGGTTTTTGTTGAGTCAAATGACTCATCTCATAAGTAAGAAGATGCTGAGCCCACATGACATAAGTAGGAAAACTGTTTCCATTTAGCTGATGATTCTAATTTAGGTACGTGGGCACTTTATTAGAAAAAGAGAGTATTTTAACATTGTGTTATGTGGTGGGGCTTTTGCACTGAAATACATTGAATTAGCTTTCTTGCTGAAAGTTTAACCCTATTCAGGACTTTCATGTTGCCATATGTAGAAGGTCTTTCAGGGTCCATTGGACCCCAAGAAAGAATCTGTACAAAATATTTGTTGGTATTGATTATAGACATTTATAAAATGTTAATTTTTTTTGTTAAGTTGAAGTATTATTGGTTCCAAAATGCGTGACAAATGTCTCTCTTTTTATATCTAAAAAAAAAAAAAACTTCAAAAATAAAAAACAATATCTGTCCCCTACACCAAATAGCCTGGAGTCCAAAAGACTCCAAAAATCCTGAATAGGGTTAAATGAAAAGACTGATATCACTCTTGCATCTAAAACTAAATATAAAGTAAACCTATAGATAGTTCGGTTAGTGATCTACCTGCAGACTGTAGTCACAAAATACTACAAATGGTCCAGATTGCTTATTGTGCTGATTTAACAAAACAGCCAAAACTTGTTGATTATCTGTTTTTTTAACCTACAAACTTTACATGTGGCGTAATTCAAATTATATCACTTTTAAACAGAGTCAGAGCAGATTGCTTCCTCTACCAGTCTTTGTGCAAAGATAAACTTACCAGCTGTTAGCTACAGTCTTATATTATTATATGAAACTGCATTCTCAGTTTCTTTTTGTTGAAAAGGGGTGACAGTTGAACAGCAATACAAGAAACCACAAAGATGTGCTGATTAGACATGTATTTGTGATATGTCACAAGCAAACATAATCTGGTCATCTGGATAATTAGTTTCTTTTGAAATGTGCTTGAGGATGCACAGGAACGTACTTTTTTGTAGACAGGCCTCAGTATTGGACATGAGAGTGATATAAAACCTCTCCTTGAACTCACTACAAGAACGCAAAAATGCACATTTTGCTAAAAGTCAAACTGTTTCTTCATGTTCTGGAGCTCAAAAGTGACTCAGAATTGTAAGCTGTAGGAGAAGTGTACTTTTCTCAAGACTAAAACCTTTTTCCTGGTTTACTTACATCATCTCGTGCTCCCGTCTTTGCGTGAAGGACAGTTTTATAACAGTATTGGTCGTTACATCATTGTTTGACAGGTGAGGGCAGCGGATCGTTTTACTGCTTTAACATCAGCACATTGTAAAAACAGGCTTTAACAACAGACGCCCTCCAATAAAACAGCAATGCATCGTCTATTTTTTAAAAATCGAATAGACTTACTATTTTAAGGTACTACTTCTCCGAGAACAGTGATACCCGACTACGACTACCTTGGCAAAGCGGTGTGTGAAGTCTCTATTGTTAGTGAGTGTGTGTGTGTATAGCAGAAATCAGAGACAGGTTTTATGAATGAGCAGATGAGGACACAGACTATTAAAATTATGTCACGTCCTTTTAGTCTTTTTGTGTCATTATGTAACGCTTGTGTCCTCACACCTGTTGTGGTGGTGCCTTGTAAATCTACGAAGCGACAGACGGATTATTATTGGACTTTAGGTGTGAGTTTGTGTGGGAGAGTTGTGTTGATTTTCAGTTAGATTTTCTTACTTTCTTGGCGATTTTTTTAAAATTTTGTCTCAGAGAACTGATCTGACAGCAGGTTTATTGTATTAAAATGAAGAGAGCGATGTTGTTACTCATCAAGCAGCACTTGTTGAGGACTTTAATGAGGCAGGGCCTTTTTATAATGCTGCTCTTTAAAGATATTTGTGTATGCGAGCGGTTAAGTGGCTTCGGTCTGTGCAGGGAACAGCTGAGACGTCTGGTGGACGGTTGTGTAACAAGTAGACAAGACGATTTACTGCATCCAAAAACCACAAAACAACCAGTTTGTACATTCTGTAGCCCCAGTAAACAATATGCATTTGCTGCATGTTGTATAAATATTTAATCACACTGATCTTATCTGGCTGCAGCACTAATAACACTATGACACTTCAATTTGATCTTTCTCCAAAAATGCGTCTTACAAATTTGAAAATACCCTCCCCGTCTCAGACATGTTACACCATCTTGAGCATGTTGTTGCAAGGTTCTGGATTTGACGTGGCCCCGTGGAGAGAGACGTATCATCTTACCAAAGAGAGGTATATTTTTACACCATGTTGTTACACAGACTGCTGCAGCCTGGCATCTGCGTCCCATTCCCAAAACTCCCAGTACAGGACCAGGTGGAAAAAAACCAGTGTTGCACATGTAAGAGGTGTGCGTCACAACCACGTTTTGTTTGTGTGGATGCATGAGAAAGGCAGCTGAAGGATGCTGTACCAAAACCAATTAAGGAAGGAGCGCTGTTGTGGATTACGATGCATTTGAGACCCATCTTTCCGTGCAAAAGTATTTTGAACGAAATAGTCCGGCATAATTTGACATTTAATATTGGGAGCACAGTAAACTGGAAAACAAGATGTGGGTCAAATTGCCCTTTTTGGTGTGTGTTCATCATGGTGTCAAATATGACACGTGAAAGAGGTTCAAAGACAGCACGTTACAAAAACTTTCCATTTTCCGTCATGCTGATTTTGTCACATTAATACTAAAATCACCACATGGGCACAGTGTTCCAGTCTACATGGAAGAAAAAAACAGCAACGACGGAGATCAAAGTATTTCTCTGAGACGCCGAGCATTTCTCAGCTTAATATAACACATAACAAGGCTCGCAGCCTCGCATAACTGGAGTGCTGAGGTGGAAACGTAACCATGTGTGTTTGCGTCATTAGTAACCGAAAACCTTTGTTGTCATCTCATCAGCTGAGTCACAGTCGCTTTTAAATTCTGAGTCACTGCCACGGAAAGTGCAGTGAAAATATGATCAAAGTCAGTTGTATTGTCTTACACCAGCAACAGTTACGAGCAATGAGAGGAAGTACATTCACTCGAATGCTTGACTACTGGAGTATTTCTATTTTATGCTACTTAATACTTCCACTCCACTACACTTCAGAGGGTAATATTGAACTTTTCTACTCCACTACATTTACGTGGCTGCTTTAGCAACTAGTTACTTTTAAAATGGCACATTGATAAAGATTAAAGTTGCAGGTTCCAACTTTTTAGGATAATTTAGTCTTTGAAAAAGCAGTGTGTAGTTGGGGTCGTATTCCAGATGTATATGTGTTGCTAACGGCTCCAAAAGTCTTAATTTCTGCACCTCCCGTTGTTTCATTTTAATAAATCTGAAATAATTCTGGTAGATTGGACTTGCTTGAGTTCCTTGAAGACGTTTCACCTCTCATCCAAGAGGCTTCATCAGTTCTGACTGACTAGCTGGGAGTTCCAGATACTTATATCCTTAAGGAGCCATTAACACCTGAGTTTTGGTTTCAGTTGGGGGTTTGTTGCTCCTCCCCCTCGTTACATGGGTCGTTAGTGCTCCCCCTGCCACAAAGGAGTTCGTTAGGGTCTTTAGTGGTGTGAATGTACACAAGCGCATGGCTCAGCACAGAAGAGCCAGCTCCTCAGGACAGGACTCAGCAGTCCACCTGCATCTTAAGGACAAAGGACACTCATTCGAAGACAATGACGTACAGATTTTGGCCAGGGAGGACAGGTGGTTTGAGAGAGAGGTGAAAGAAGCCATCTATGTCAAACTGGAAAGACCATCCCTCAACAGAGGAGGAGGTCTGAGGCATCATCTCTTTCCTGTTTACAATTCAGTCCTAAAATCTCTCCCCAGGAAGATGAAACCACATTCCCACAAAGCTGCAAAAGAACCCAATGAACCCCACTGAGGCGGGGGGGAGCAGTAACCTTGACCTGGATGACTGAGAATCTTCACAGACACCAAAAATCAAATATTAGAGACAACGTCCAAAAACTGAAGATAGATTTGTATATCTAAGCTTAGTTTTTTTTTTCTCTCTTCTCCCATTAATCATCTGATGAGACCTTGTCTGGGGTTCCTGTAAACAAAACTGAGTAGTTCAAAGCTCCACCTGAGGCAGCTACAACAGTACCATGCATGCAGAATTAATAATCTAATGATGTCCCTTATAATAATATATGAATCAGGACCAAAGCAGCACGTTCATTTTAATTTTCTAACTACAGTTTGCTTCTAATACTGCTATTATACCTTTATTAAGAAGGCTTTTTCATGCAGGCCTCTTCCTTTTAATGAACTATTTTTATATGGTTGTGTTGGTACTTCTACTTAAGCACAGGATCTGAATACTTCTTCCACCTCTGGTTAATAGTAGAGAAGCATGGTGTGGGAGTAAGACGAGCTGTGACTCAGTTGTAAGAAAAGCACCTACATTAGTGTTACACTCAAGAGCTGTAATTTCAGCCCTTTCCTCTTATAATACATACCAGAGTGAAACGAAACTCTTTGCAACTGTAAATTATATTTGGCCTGTAAGACAAACTGGTAATTGATCCACAACATGGAAACATTTATTGTGTATTAAAAATTTATATTTGATCAAAATCTACATTAAGCAGTTAATTTGAATAAATTATGAACCTCTTTAGAGTGATGGAATACCAGTGTAAATATAACTATTCATAACACTAATACCTAGGTAACAGGTATCAATTAACAATCCTTCACTAATGTATTAATTGCCACTTCAGCGCATTGCAGTCATAGTTTTGAATGACCTGTAAAAAAGGATCTTCAAGTGCAACTAAGCACCATCCATAAATGTGGCTGCTCTCTGTGGTTGAAAATGTAAACCCTGTTTCACCACTGACCACATGCAGCAGCACTGCTAGAAGTCAGGAATATACTCTGCAGCATGTGTAACCTTCAGCCAACATAGCAGTGCAACATTCACAGGTAGGGGGAGCAATTAAACCAACATGAAATATCTTTTTATGCAGATGATATAATGCTATATCTGCAAAACCATTAACCTGAAAACCAACATGGTTCTACAAAATATGGACTTGTTTCCCCTTTAACTCTGAAGACAGTGATGTTTGTATTGTAAAAGGAGAACTTCATGACCCTAACAAGCCTAATTTGATCAAGTGTCACTGTTATTGCTGTCATGAATACGTGTTGAATTCTACACGACCATTTGTGCAGAGCAGTAAAAGGGTCAACTGCACTGTAAAAAAAAAAAAGAAGTTTAAAATAGAAAAACTACAATATTTTGACAACTGTGTTGCAAAAAATAGTCTAACAGACGATTACCATCTCATTAAAATGCAATGATTTTCCACAATTAAAATAAAGGTTTTCCCATAAGCTTGCCATAATTTTAAATGAGATTATGTGTGTTTTTTGAGTCTTGAGTCTTGAGAAACAAAGACATTTCCTATATAAAATAACATCCTGCTAGACAGATGTCATTAGTTGTATCTACATTTAGAAATAGATTTACAGTATTACACTTATGTTTAACAGTTTTATCTGTTGCATAAAAGGAAATGTTTGTGAAATTTTCAGTTACAGGTTTTTAATGTTATTCTATATTATGCATGTGAATTCACAGTCTTTAAAAAAAACTGGATTAATATTTTAGAGTACTCTAAAAAAATATTGACAAGATCAGTAAAATTAAAGGAGAAAATTCTGTAAAATTTCTGCATTGTTGAATCTACTGTCCTGACCACTTGTGATGTATTAGTGATTTATCATATTTGACTGAAGGACTGCAGAGTGGCTTCACATTGTATTCTTGATCATTACTATACTTTTTAAAAAAATTTTTTTTAAATCATTGATCAGTTAAACGCAAAAAAATATTGCAAAGAAAAACAAAACTCGGGCTGCAAGGTGGAGCAGTGGTCCCGGTTAGGACACCCAGGATGTTTCCATGCGGAGTTTGCATGTTCTCCCCGTGCAGTGTGGGTTCTCTCCGGGTTCTCCGGCTTCCTCCCACACAGTCCAAAAACATGTTGAGGTTAATTGGT